GGGTTCCAGTTTCTCGACCTCCTGCCTACTCTGTCTGGAAGGGGAGGGGCCAGGGCTCCAACAGAAGGTTGGGATGATGCGGTGAGGCCTTGCTCCCAACTCCAAGGAAAGAGGAAGGTGTGGTTTGTGGGGGCAGGAAATGGCCGGCTACTGGGCTAAGGAGAACTGCAGGAGGGAGCATGTCAGGGGAAGGACAAGGCTGGTGTGGAGAGGATAGCCATAGGGTCAGAATCAAACATCAACCCCCACGGAAATGCTGCAGTATGATAGGACCTGGCTTTAGAAAAGAATTCCAGGAAAGCAGCCCATTTGGAGAATTATGACTGAGGGGCAAACTCTGAAGCCCACAGACAGCCAAGGAAGTGAAGCCCCTTAAATGACAGCAGCTGAGGCACCATCCCCCAAGGGCTGCTGGAGAATGGGAAGGCGATCCTAGAATGTATCCCATCTCTTTTACCAGAGAGAGAAGAGGACACGCTGAGTGCAGGAGTCACTGATGGAGGTGACACGGAACACACAGGCCTAGTAGAACGGGCCTGGCCCAGATGCCTGCCACTGTGGGAGAGGGACCTCAATCCAAGTGGCACAGGCCTTTTTGCCAACCCCCAGGGCTTGTTTTTCCTCCAACCTGAGCCAGGACAGACAGGCTGGCCCCGCCTGGCAGGGCTTCGCCTGCCATAACACAGGATGGCTGAGCCCAGAGCCTACCTGTTGCTAAATCCAGACTCCTGAGGTGCCAGTTACCTGGTGTCTGGCCATAGGCTCAGTTGGCTTCTTGGACCCTGTGCTGTGGCCTCAGAGGGTCTTTAGGGATGAAGGAAGCAGGCTGAGCCCACCCTTAGCTCGAGTGTTACAGGTAACAGGGCCCCAGAGGTCTGGGAAAAGGTGGCAAAAGCCACTTATGTGGCAGATATCCAAGGGGAGGGAGACTCTTGAGGACTTGGGGCCCTGCTGTCCCTCCCACAGCCAGGATATCCCTTCCCAAACTGCCCACATTAGAGGTTTACCTAGACTAGTGCTGTTCCTTAAAGACAGGGGCACAGCCCTCGCCAGTTTGGCTCAGTGGATAGAGCGTGGGCCTGTGGATTGAGGGGTCCCAAGTTCGATTCCGGTCAAGGGCACATGCCCAGGTTGTGGGCTCGATCCCCAGTAGGGGGTGTGCAGGAGGCAAGCCCATCAATGATTCCCTCTCATCATTGATGTTTCTATCTCTCTCTCCCTCTCCCTTCCTCTCTGCAATCGATAATTTTTTTTTTTTTTAAGAAGGGAACAAAGGGAAGCAATGGTGGAGGCAACCTGGGATCTCAGCAGCCTCCGTGGTCCCAGGGCTACTGCTGAGTCCATCCATCCAGACTCCCAGCTCCTCCCTTGCCCACCCCCACCCTGTGGTTTGCTAGCATAGCTTGAGAAGACTTAGCCAATCAGTGGGGGAACTCGCTGCTCACAAATATTTTCATACCCTAACTCATTTCCTCCTAGTAATGTGCCAGAGGTATTATCATCTGAGAGGGTAAGGATCATTAACTAGGTGGTTGGCGTCCTTGGGCAGTGACCATGTTTTACCGCTAATGCCTGGCATATAAAGGGGACTCACACAGTGTGGACGGAATGAAGGAGTACAAGGACTTGTCCCAAGTCACCTGGCAAGAACAGGTGGTGTGGCAGCGAGCTTCAGCTTCCCGACTCAAACCGGGTGCCCAGTCCAGCCGTCCCCATTCCTTTCCGCTCAGGATGCTGGTGGCGGAGCAGGCAGGCGGACTGTGGCCCGCGAGGTGGGAGGGAGCTGGCTGCTGTGCCAGGTCAGAGTATGCGAGAGATCCTGGCCTCTCTGGACACTCTGAGTCATATTTAGGGGAAAGCCTCGCATTGCGCTCTCTCCAGGTCACTCCCTCTGCTAGGGGTGCGGGGCCTGGAGGGAACTCTGCACCCTAAGGGGAAAATGGAATTCGTGCCCTGGCCTGTTTGGCTCAGTGGATAGAGCGTCAGCCTGCGGACTGAAGGGTCCCGATTCAATTTCGGTCAAAGGCACACGCCCCGGTTGCCGGCTCCATCCCCAGTAGGCAGCGTGCAGAAGAAGCCGATCAATGATTCTCTCCCATCACTGATGTTTCTCTCTCTCTCTCACACTCTCTGTCTCTCTCTCATTTCCTCTTTGAAAACAATAAGAATATATTTTTAAAAAAGAAAAAGAAAAAAACTGAATTCGTGTCCAGCTGCCCCTCTCCTGGCTGGTTCCATGGGCCCAGGACCGAGAAGGGCTGGCCCCGCCCGGCAGCCACGCAGCGCCCTCTAGTGCGGAGCAGCGGGGTGAGCGGGCTCCCCGG